CCTAAGCATAGTAAAATGACTTCTGTCATGGCTTAATTTAGTTTTGATTGCAGTTTTTAAGACTAGATCACGTTCTTTCATTAGTCTGAAAATATCCTCATTCATCCAAGGGACAGTGTGTTTGTTATTTCTATGCTTGATTTTGCATTTGAAGTTGTTAATAGTCCTCTCTAACGTTGTTAAGAACATTTTACTGTCTTCTTCATCGTCTATTCCAGGCAAAATATCTTCCCATTTAATCTGTTCAACAGCATTTGTAAAGGTCTCATATTTGTTTTTGGGGATTCCACAAGATTCATATTTCCTGACGGAAGGACTAAAACGCTTTTTGGTTAGTTTCCTGGCGACTAAAGTCATATTGTGGTCAGAAAGACCAGTTAACATGTTAAAGGATTTAAAAATGATCTCTGGTCTGTTACTAAATATTAAGTCAATTTGAGTGCTGGTTGAATTTGTTATTCTTGTAGGTCCACTGATCAGTTGCACAAGGTCAAAATGATCAGTTATCTGTTTTAGATTCTTTCTGGCCGATTTATCCTCCCAGTTAATGTTAAAATCACCCATTATAATAACTTCTTTGTTGAAATTCCATTCTCTTAATAACTTCTTAAAATGTTCATAAAAAAGATTATTTGAAGATGGAGGCCTATAAATTACAATAAGAGCAAATGACATTTGTGGTGACAGAGTTATATTAACACCCAGGGCCGGCCCTAGACTTTTGGGGGCCCTAAGCGAGCTTTGGCTTGGGGGCCCCCCCTCACTCTAGCGCGTTCTCACTACACACAACACGGAACCAACTTTTGTCTTATGATGTTAGCATAAGCACACATATTGTATAAATAAGCATATAAACACCGTGGACCTAACCTCTAAGGGGGTCCTCACCTCCTCTAGGGGGGTCCGGGGGCATGCTCCCCCGGGAAGATTGTTTTTAAAATATTGAAGTTAAAAGCATCAATCTGGTGCACTTTGAGAGCAAAATTAAGAGATCTATGGATACATCTCTCAACACCCATATGAAACAGAATTGTAAGCAGATTTTTCTTTATGGATATTTTACAAATCACTTAAACTGTATTCTTGTTTTGTCATATAGTATTTCATAACTGTTTTTCATTTATTCTCTCTGGCTGTCCATCTCATAATGTTCACATAGAAACTAGCTGTCAATAGGAATACCATTCAGAAGAATTATAATTTCTTGCAAAAATCTGTCACAAAAAGAGGTTGCACATTTAAATTCAGGTGTTGTTATGGCAACGTCAGTGGCCACATTTACTGCTGCAAATACGTTCAAACATGCTGTCGACACGTAAAGCAGTGGCAACTATGCCACCATTTCAGCTGACTTTTTCTCAGAAATACTGTCACATAACATCCATATATTTCAGTGCTAGGTTGATGCTTAGCTAAGCTAACTATGAAACACTTTAAATGACAGGACTCAGGATCAACTGTGTACTGTAAGGTAGCTTCTAGCTTCATGTCGAACAGTAAGTCAACATTTCCCAGAGAGCTTTCTTTGAAATCACCAGGTAACGCTAAAAAACATAACATTTAGATTGTATGACAAAGTGTTTATTTAATATATCTGGCTAGCTATAGCTACTTGCTAACGGTTTAGCTTACCCCCGCGATTCAAAGTAACGTCAACGTAGCTGTAATTTATGCTTTGCTTACATGTTCGCATAACTTGGAAGTTTACTGACATTTACATACCTTGTTTACCTGTGGCTCTGGGGTTGTTGTGTGAGCCACCACTTGAGAATTCTCGTCTTTTTTAAGAAAAGATGTTCTTATGTCCATCTTCAAAAACTCTGAGTCCGACTGACAGTTTATTTGAAACATTGTCACAGCTCACAGGATAGGTACCTGTCAGCCAATAAGACATGTTTATTTCCATTCAACTCTCAGGTTGATCTGGTGTCTTGCCTCTGTTGCATTCACTGAACACGGGAAATTACAATCCTGCCGTCCTCTCTAGTGTCATGATGAGGTTCAGGTAAAGCACGGTTAATGTATTATATTATTGACTCAATAATATAATACATGACTTTGAGAGTAGGCAATCTAGGCATATTAACAAAATTAATTAAACATACTTATCACGGCGACGGTGTACTGATTTTTTTTGTCGCTTAATGGGTCGGGCCGGCTCTGTTAACACCGATAGTTTCCAATCCTTTACAATTTGACCACTGTATTTCATTGCAGGGAATACTGTCCTTGACATAAATCATAACCCCGCCTCCTTTTGAGCCGCGTCTATCTCTCCGGTAAATGTTAAAACCCGGTACGTGAAAGGCTTCTGTGGGGGCGGACTCATGAAGCCAGGTCTCGGATAAACACAAAAAGTCTAAATTGGAGTCCATTAAAAGATGATGGACTTGCTCACTTTTAGATTTGATGCTTCTTATGTTCAGATGTCCCCCTAAAAGGCCTGATGGCTTAGCTTTGGGATCCCAGACTGTTCTTGAGTCATTGACGGTCTGAAAGAAATTCCGGTTCCGGTTCTTTCTGATTGCCGGGTTTACCTGCTTCCTGTTTACATTTGGAGTGTTAATGTTTCCAAATGCACGTGGATTATTACAGCCAGAGAAAGTGACTTGATATCATGTAGTTATTTTCTTATATTTGTATTTACATCTATATCAGGGATGGGCAACTTGGATGGTGGTGAGGGCCACATAATTGATGTACTGGCCACCAGGGGGCCGCAGATTCACTTGGAACACACACACACATTCCATGTATTGTATGTAATTATTAACAAATATACTAACTCTGACATCTTCATTGACATTTTTCAATCTTTCAAGGAACATCCTCTAATAAGCTCACTAAACAAATATCAGTTCACAGAAATTTTATTTTATTTGTACAAGTGGCATGTTTGTATTGAACAGGTTATTTAACAGTGGATTACAACTATTTTAAACTATTGGAAAACACAGAAAATGTGTGTGCATTGAGATTAAACATTAAGATGACATAAACATCAAGTCATGAACACTAACCCAGACATTAGTTGTCTGACTTGAACCTAAGACACGTGTAGCCTGCCTCTGCATACCCCTTATTCCACAATAAGGGGAATGTCAACACAGACACCTGTCAACCCGCACTCTGCTGTTCCTCAGCGCCGCTCCCCCTCCCTCCCGCTGGGCCAGGCCCTCCCATTTGACATTCCTGCCCTCCCCCAATAAACCCGTTTTTTCTTTTTTTATAAAAAATATTTTTTAAATTATAAATAAACTGTGAACTTTAATGCTACGATGTATGTGATGTCAGATATTAATATAAGAGTAGTAAAGGAAAAACAGTTATGAAATACTATATGACAGTAAAACAAGGGGAGTGATTTGTAAAATATCCATAAAGAAATAGAAAATCTGTTTACAGTTCTGTTTCATATGGTGTTGAGAGATGTATCCATAGATCTCTTCATTTTGCTCTCAAAGTGCACCAGATTGATGCGTTTGACTTGAATAATTGAAAAAAAAAAAAAATCTTCCCGGGGGAGCATGACCGACCCCCCCCCCCCCCCCCAAATTAGCACTTTACCCCTGCTTACACCTAGCCTATATGCCGTGAGCTGATTATCGAGCCTTCATCGTAACAGTCGCGGGTACACTGTGTGTGCGCATGTGGGGAATGTTGCAGTAGAAGATTCCACTGTAGCGCCCGGTACATTAATGGGAAACCCTACATGTTTGAGCACCCTCTATGAAACGTCAAGCTACCCCACAGCACCCCCAAAAAAAAATCTCTGGCGCCGCCACTGGTCGCGGTACATGAGTCATGACGGTTTTGTGTGCCCTCCCATGAAAATCATATGCCCTCTCTGTAGATTTGTTCTACCAGCCGCCATTTGCCCAGCCCTGATCTGGTTTGAATACAAACACTCATACATGAACAGCCAAATGAAATAAAAGTGTAATTGTCTTGTCATTTAAAATTATTTATAATTTAAAATGTTTATTTTGCTGCTGAAATAGAGTACAGTAATTCGTTTTAATAAAGCGGTTTTACATATTTATATATATTTTAGCCAATGAGAAGAGTTTCGGACACAGTGATTGTGAGTAATGGTGTCAGATTAGAAAGAGATGAATTAATGTAAGTTTTTTGATCAACGAAGGACAATGCCTGTATTCTCATTTCCATTATAAGAACAATTTCCTTCACAATTCAGAAGTCTTGGGACACTTGAGAAATTGATCACAATGAACAAAATGACATGACAGCATTTGTCATTTTGATCATTTGTATTGATCCTTTTACTTCATCATATTTATCATACTTTACGGTTATTGCTGCTGTTTTTTGTAATGTATTGGTATTTGTTTTGGTTTAACCAATAATTATATAAGTAGGCCTACTTCTTTCAGTGGGACAGTCATTCCTTCACAGTTCTATAGACTTTTCATAGTATTAATAGTTGTCTGTGTATGCTCACACTATGCCGATGTTGGAAATAATTAAATCTTTAAATAACAAAACCCTTGCAAGATCATGTTTAAAGATTGTTCAACACTTTGAAAAGAAAACTGCAAAGAAGGAGAAAAGTCACTAATATCAAATATAAATACTATGAGTGTGGTGAACTCTTTAAACCCTTTAATTCTTGATTTGGCTCTGAAATGGTCTCTTACATGGTTTGAGTCACAGTATTTGCTTTATAGTGGCATGACTTTAAAAAGTATTAATAAATGAACATTTAAATATTCTACATGTGTTATAAACAATTAATTAATATTTAAATGTGTCTTTGAAATAGTATGTCTACACCGAGTTTGTATAGATGTTATTATCAGCACATACTATATTCACTCAGTCATTATACAGATATATAACATAATCAGTGAACGTGCAGTCGTGATGAAATCAAAGGATTATTGGGGTTACATTGGATTATTCTGTAGTTATATAAAGCAGCTGCACGGGATTGGTGGCTGGAGCCGAGCATGCGCAGAGCGTCTCCTCGCATTTAACAACACAAGAAACCACAAGCGTATTTACGGAGTTTAAAGTGAACAGTGAGAGTTTTTAAGGAAAGGAAAGCGTCCTGTGAAGAATCAAGGTGAGTTTATGTTTTTCCCGCGGTTCGGCTCGGTTCGGCCCGTCTCTGTGAGTGTGTGTGAGTGTGAGAGGGGGGTGTGTGTGCTTGGTTTATTGTCTGTGCGCTGTAAATGGAATTAGGAGAGAAAGGAGGACGCTGCATCATGGAGTGTATTCAGCAGCAGTTCGTGTTAAAGCAGCTCTCGGTGCATGTTAGTGCTTCAAGCCGCCGTTCTGGAAGTTTCTCCGGCCGCACGCACTGAGCTGCCGGACAAAAACTGAATATTATCCCGGCCTTTTTATCGGGAACAAAATGTTCCTCCATCCGAACGTGAAGCTTCTGCTTTATACCTGCGCACAGACCCTTAACATAATGGCGTCAAAAAGTTATATTTTAACATTTGTATTCATTCTTTCGTCATGATTTTGGACAACTTTTGTTGCCTTTTAATTTTATTTGTGGACATTTCACATTTGTAACAACTGAAGTTGATTATTTGCGTGTTTAAAAAAAAGTTTTCACTCAAATAAAAAAACAGAATGGCACAGACTTGCAGCATGAGTGTTGAGTCTGCATTTTCATTTAAATGTGATGCTGAAGTATTTTTGTTTGCTGCTGGGACAACGGAGGAGTCTTCATCACTCACTGCGAGCTGAGAGTACACACCCACCACCAACACACACACACACACACACACACACACACACACGCACGCGCGCGCGCCACAGTCACAACCACCGTCCTCTGGAACTCCTTGTACCCTTTTTAGTTTCGCGCGGTTTTAGATGCTCGTCGTGCTGATCCGTTAATGAGATCAAGTGCACACTCAGCACTTGTGATTGAAGTTCTATCTGATGTAAAGGTTTTACCAACACATTTCTCCCAGCCTGTAACATGCAAGTCTGCTTTGTGCATATTAACTGAAGAAGAATGAGCCATACAGTGTAGACATTGTGTTTGGAGTATGTGTGTCTGTGTGTGTCAAAGCCTCAGAACCTTTGTCAATGTGCACCTTTTACTTTTACAGTTGTATCCTAAGCAGAAAGATGTTGATGCCGCACAGGTTAAAGGCCAAACTGCTCAGTTAGGAATCCCCTCTGCAAACAGGAAACAAAAAACTAAAACAGTTAAAGAGTCACTGAAATGAACAAATGTGTCAACATCCCCTACCCCTTTCTTAGGATAATACCCTCCCCTTTAACTGTAGTCAGGGTGAAACCTTTGTATGTCACATGTTAGTGAAGAGTTGAGTTTTGTTTGTGTAGATTTACAATCTGTACAAAGGCAGTGAATTGTTTGAGAATTGCGTCTAATTGAGTGGGTGTGTCCCTCCGCCTAATGAGCCTTAAATCACTTTATATGTCTTGGAAACTCCAATCTGTTCTTTCACTAGAACTAATGTCATGTTTTGTCAAATGTATGTCCATCTTTTTTAAATCTGTGTACACTCACATGGGCAGATGACAAAAAGGGCCAAAGGGAAAATTAACCATTGCATCCGTGATCAATCATCGCCAATCATGGTATGTGATACTTTCAGTATTTGAGGATCAGTTACTGCCTTTACAGAAACTGGTTTACATTTTATATAAAAGAATAGAGTGGTGCAGTGATGACGTATTTTTTAGGCCGACCTGGAAATTAGCATCGCAAGGGATCCCTCAACAAAGGCAATGGGTCTTTTTCCATTGGATTTCAGTATATTGCAGTTAGACTATATTGTATTATAGTCTCCTAAGACAGCAACCACTTTTTGTTATCACACATAGGAGCTTCAGATATTTACCAGTGGGGTGTTCACTGGCTTGTTTAATGTCGTAGAACAAAACGTGATCATCTCTTCAGCTTGTGTTAACCACAGACTTTATTTCAGGCTTCTAAACACAAACGCATTCAAAAAACCATTGTCTCCGAAGGTAACCGGAAGTGGTAAAATGCAACATTATTGCACCAATCAATTCACATTATATATGCTATCATAGTCAGTTACATACTAATTTAGCACTTTAACCATACATTGACCAGCTTTATGGTTTCTACCTAACATCTTGATATAGTGTTGGGCGTGTTGCCCACTGTAGAAATTGTTATTATACAATCTGGGTTATGGGTACATTCTTGGTATTGTCCTCTTCCTCTTCCTTGCCTGAGGGAGCGGGCCTGCTTTCAGCATCTACACACACACACACACACACACACACACACACACACACACACACACACACACACACACACACACACACACACACACACACACACACACACACACACACACACACACAAAAGGCAGACTGGACTTTCTGCTTGGCCGGGGATGCTCAGTGACCGTGTGTTTTTGTGTGCGTGTGTGTGTCAGTAGCACAGCAAGATAGCATACATAATGGATGTGGGTGTGTACATGTGGCCTCTGTTGGATTTTTATTAAATACATTTGGCTACTCTCCTTCACATATATTAAAACAGCTTGCATTTATGTCCCAGAATATCTCAATGTGGTCAGCTTAAAACTAGCACCTTATTGTTAGCTGTTCAATTTAGAATCTGCCAGTGTGTAAGAGTTAAGTTATGTGTGTGTGCCAATTCAAATCACATCAATCTTTGGGTTAACGTTTCATATCCATCCTTGTTGCCTTTATTTGTATTTGCCAGTATAAATATTTGTTTGTCCCTGTTGCAGCTGTTCCAGCAAAACGGGAACAAAACTCAAAAAGTGTGTCTTCATACATCGATGATCCCAAAGAATGAACTGCAGATCATTTTGTGATGGGATGGCACCAGCAGCTACACTGGGCACATCAAGTAGATCGTAGAATACAGCCTTCTTACAAACTCTACCGTCATTTGGTCTCAACTGCACACCTTTAGAGGGGCATGTCAATGGTCTTCAAAGGCTAAAATCCCTATGTTTCTCTCCCACAAATGAAATGATGTATCAATTAGAATCACATATTCACACATCAGTGTGCATTTAAAAGTTCATAGCCAACTCCTGTTCTCTGTATGGACATCAGGACAGATCAGAACAGAGGCTTATGGATGATTCAGTGGTATTCAAACAATCCCACACACACTGGACCTTCTGCTTGGCTGGTCATGCTAAAGATGACAGTGTGTGAGGGTGACAGTACAAGGGGATGTTAATGTGTCGGGATGGATGCTACTTTTATTGAAGCACCCTATATGTTTGTTGAAAGGAATACGTTATTTTGCTAACTTGATATTTGTACTTTGGGGTTGAACAATGGGTCCATTCTCGCAAGCTCTCTGAGTGAGGTTGGTGAGGTGTTGCGTTTAGGTTGTGTAGATGTTGTTGAGAGACATGTGTAGGCATTGACAATGCCCCCTCCCCCCCTCAGTTTACATGCTGAGAACACTCGTTCTGCAGAGAGCTCACGCTAAATCATTATGTTATTTTTGAGTTGTACATAAACAGTTTGAGTGGAATAAGGCCCAAAAAATGTGATGTGTTAGTTTCAATTCAAATCTACAATTCACATTACTGCTGACATACGCACCCCAGTGCTTGTCCTTCAACAATGAACATGTGTTCAACATGCAGGGAAAGTTTGAATGAGACTCTGTGTTCATGTATGTTTCTGCAGACAGCTGCTGGAGCCTGGGTGTGTGTGTGTGTGTGTGTGTGTGTGTGTGTGTGTGTGTGTGTGTGTGTGTGTGTGTGTGTGTGTGTGTGTGTGTGTGTGTGTGTGTGTGTGTGTGTGTGTGTGTGAATGGTATGTTCCCCCAGCTCCACCCTGCAACCCCCTGAAGCTATCACAGTTGTTTACCCTCTTTGCTTCTGACTACACTACAGCATGCTAGTATTGCATAACTCCAAACTACCCTCCAGTACTGGATGCAAAGTGTGTGTGTGTGTGTGTGTGTGTGTGTGTGTGTGTGTGTGTGTGTGTGTGTGTGTGTGTGTGTGTGTGTGTGTGTGTGGAAGCTAGTCAGGCTGGTTTAGTCTTTGCCTTTTACACATCATTCATTGTAGTATGAGTGGATTAGTGGTGTCACATGTGTAGCTGTCTGTCTAACTCTGAGGGTCAAACAGTTCATACTCTGAAATATATCTTTTAAGTTATCAATGCTGTATTTATTAAGCCCCCTTGAAATACTTGAAAAATCCAAATTCATGTAAAATGATCAACAAAGAAATCAAGCTATAACAGTTATCCATGTATGCAAAAGATCTCACGGGTTTGATTTTATACCCTAAATACTTAAACCACCTTCAAAGTGTTTAATTGCACAATAAGTATTGAATGACTTGGAGCATGCTGATTGGCAAATACTCAGACAGTGCAGATGTTTTGAACACAGCACAGGCACGACACATTGACTCTACTTGACATACTAGCAGGCTTGGGGAGTAATTGATCACAACAACGCGATTATGTTATCACGATACAAAAAAGGTAACTGTATTACCTTTCAGTTGTACTAAAACGGAGCATTTTCTGTCAGCTCAGATTTTATTTCTGCTTTTTTAAACTAGTATGTGCTCATGTGTTTCAGTGTTGGTGTAGACTAGAGGCTACTGCCTGAATATGCTGAGTGAAAGGCAGCTTTTCCTATACATAAAATCATGTTTGATGCTAAGTATCTTGTTTTTCTTATTTTCAATTCACCTAAGTAAAAACCTTCTTATTGTTGTATTTTATTTATTTGCATTGCATTTGATAACAAGGTAATCCAAAAGTCACAAAAAGAATTCATGTTACACTACTTTTATATTTTGATACTAAGATAAGGTTACTGATAACATTCTTTTACGGATTACTAGTAATTGTAACGGAATCATTTTTTTTCTCAAGTTACAAACTCTGCATATTAGCAACGTTATCTCCATTCTTTGTCAGTCAATCTTAATGAATCAAACAGTTCCCCCTGTCTATTCATAATAACTAGTAAGTAGAAACTAAAGTTGGATTCTTATTCTAACTAAAACTACATTTTGAAAGTGAGTCTCAGTTAATGAGCATGAGGTCACTGAGGATTATCCGCATTAGTTGTGGCAGGTTAAGTTCAGGTGCATGACTCCTGCTGGCTCAGAGGCATGTGCAGGGGTCGGGGGGGATGTGGTGTTACACTGAAATTGTACTTGATTAAAGTCAACGTTCCCGTTTTGTCAGTGTATCTGGTATAAGGACACCAATGTGAGTAGAGATTTAGTTCGATCATTTCTAACAAAGGGCTGGTGATGATTTAGAAAAATTGTTAATGACTGCATAATGAAGCAATCAGTTACGAGTTATAACAAGCACTGCTTTATTACACATGATACTGTGGAAATGTCTGACGGAGAAATGTGTCCTGTTTGAGCAACGTTTGATCAAAACTAAGGCCAACAGGTGTTTTTGGAAATTGTTTTATAATTATATTAGGGCTGTCAGTCGATTAAAATATTTAATCGCGATTAATCGCATGATTGTCCATAGTTAATCGCGATTAATCGCAAATTAATCGCACATTTTTTATCTGTTCTGAATGTACCTTAGAGGGATATCTTTCAAGTTTTTAATACTCTTATCAACATGAGTGGACAAATATGCTTTATATGTTTGTTTATTATCATTTGAACAATGACAAATATTCTCATGAATATTAAACACAACAACCTCTGAACATTACAAATATTCGCCTCAATTCAACCTGGAACCTCTCTCATACTGTGTGTGTGTGTGTGTGTGTGTGTGTGTGTGTGTGTGTGTGTGTGTGTGTGGTGTGTGTGTGGTGTGTGTGTGTGTGTGTGTGTGTGTGTGTGTGTGTACTGTGATGGATCGTTGAGCTATGTGCAGCTCAAGGCATATATGCTCGAATGGGAGCTGCCTGGACGCTGCAATAATGTTGCGCGTACTATCCGTGCTGACTTTTCGTACAATGTCACACTGCATAAAGTCAAGTGCTTGGCGCAGTTGTCGGCGAAATGTCATTGAAACAGCTCCTTATATCCGTTAGCGCACCTAGCTAGCACCAGATGCTAACAACAACAACACGTAAGGTGTGCCTCGCTCGCGCGAGTCGCGCCACACATACACACTCCCTCCCGGTCCTCCCGATGGCCAGTCCGGGCCTGCCAGTGAGCGTGGAAGTGTGGTCTGCCACAAGCGGGCAGCAGGAGCGGGGCTGTCAGCATCAGCTTGTCGATGGTATTTTACACTCGATGCGCTCTGAAACTACGGCGGCCGAGGACAAAAAATACACATGCGTTAATCGCGTTAAAATAATTAGTGGCGTTAATTTTTTTTTGCGTTAACGCGTTATTAACGCGTTAACTTGACAGCCCTAAATTATATGTATGAAATAACATAATCGTGAGCTGTTGTTGTCAGTAGTACTTTGACGAGAGAAATTAACAATATTAAATATTAAAATATTCCAATATCTAACTTTTCATTACTGCCTTATCACTCAAGTACACACACCAGAATTGGTAGTTTAACTTCCTTCCTTTCTGCCACAGATTTTTCTAGATAGATTAAGTATGATATCAAATTCAAATTCAAATTCAAAGGGGCTTTATTGGCATGAAAGTTCAACGAAACGATGTTGCCAAAGCATCAAAATACAAAATAATGAACATTCAAATGTTTACATATTATTGATATATATATATACAGTGATACAATTACACAACACACGGGCTATCATCTCTCCTCATCTTTCACATCAAAGTTGAAGATCATACTAGTGTTTTCCTGCTTTATTCAAAGGCTTCCTTCAATCAGATTTTAGGCAACATAAAATTGAAGGATTACCATTTTCCCTTCTTTTTAACAATAATGAGATAAGTTTAACAACTTCCTGTTCTAGTTTTGAAGCCTTTTAAGCAGCTCTTCTCACTCGTGTGTATATTGTGTTGTGTGTTGTAGGGATGAAGTTCCCTGTGGATCTCCTGGCTGGTGTCAGCCAATCAGAGGTGGAGCGGTCGGCCCACGCCTACATGAACAGCCTCCTCTACAGCGACCCTGACTGTCCTGACCAGCTCCGCCTCTCTGACTCCACCCAGGTAAACACTGCCTCCTGACTGGACCAGAGGGCTGTCAGTCAAACACACGTCCCCTCAGTAAGGGATGGTTTTCTGATGGACAGGGACAAAGTACATTTAGTCACGTATTAGAGGCACTTGTACTTAAGTATTTTTATTTTAGGCTACTTACTAGTCCACTTCAAGTTACTAGTTACAGATTTAGATTGTAAAAAAATATTTATAATCAAGTAATAAATAATGATGATGACACCATATCAGGGGTAGCCAACCCAGCATGTTCTAAAAATAGCTCGCCAAGCAAATCCAAAATGTCAAAAATACACAAAACAAAAAAGGAAATGTAATTAAAAGAATCTACCCTATGCATAAACGAAACCTCAATCATAGCGAACCCTATCTACTTACTACAACAATATCTATCTAACACCCCTCCTCCCCCCACAATGAATACCGACCAATCACGTTCTTGCTTGATTTGCGGGACCAGCGTTGCAGTCGGGAAGAAAAGCAATGTGGAGCGGCACCTCCCCGCTTCATAAGGAGTGTGACCTTTCCTTCTGGCAGAATCTACACAACACATCAGCCCCATTGAACAGCGTAGTCATGCCAGCCTATACAACACATCAGGGGCAGAGTTTTACTCTGTGTGTTGCTACTTGCATATTTATTTATTGCACTTGATGCACACACACGCATGGCGTAATTTCCACTGGGGACAGAGGGGACATGTCCCCCCCACTTTTCAAAATCCCGTTTGTGTCCCCCCACTTTACAAATATGTTTATTATTATTTTTTAACGCAAGCCGTCATCGCACACAGCCTCTGTGAGTGAGCGAGAGAGAGAGAGAGACAGAGAGAGAGCGAGAGAGAGAGAGAGAGAGAGACAGAGAGAGACAGAGAGAGACAGAGAGAGAGAGAGAGAGAGCAAGCGAGCGAGAGAGACAGAGGGAGAGAGAGAGAGAGAGAGAGAGAGAGGGAGCGAGAGAGCTAGGGAGCTAGGGAGAGCACACCTTTATCTATTTAATATAGATAAAGTAAGAAATCATTCCGATGTGTACTATAGGACAGTAACAAAAACAAAAACAGTTTGAAAGGGGAGTGATTAGTAAAATATGCATAAATAATAAAAAGAAAGAATGCTAACTAGGTAACATAAGATAAAAATAAACAAGTTTAAATGATTTGTTATTGGTTGTGATCATATTCTAAAGATGTTTGGATTATTGAAAAGTATACAGCTCCCTTTCATCTGAGTGTTGAGAGCTGTATCCATCAATTCATGTTGTGCTCAAAGGTTTTTAGTGACATTTTAATCCTGCTAGTAATCCACAGTTTTAGAAATGTAACAGTAATCTGATTTCATCTTTTTTAATGTAACTAAGGAAATAAAGTTACCTTTTTTTGTTATCCTGATTACCTTATCCCGTTACATGAAATCCATTTAGTCCCCAAGCCTGGCTGTCAGTTAGTAAAGCCCCCTATGCAAATATCTGATTTGTGATGTTGTGTCTCTCCTCAGGTCACCATAGATGTTTCCAGTGTGGGCTTCATCCCTCTGTATGGATCCAGTGATAAGCAGCGTATCCTGGCTCTCTTCTCTCCCTCTGACCCCCTCACTGCTGTGGCTCTGTTCCTGCTGGACAGGTGGTGGACGGTGGACGGCCTCCTGCAGACAGGAGACCCTGAACGAGATGGAGCTATGGAGGTATGACCACATGTTTCTCCTGTTAGGAAGTATCACTCTCTCTATTCATATCCATTCAATCTGATCAGAGAGATCTGCTGCACAATCAATAATCATTCTCCCACATGTTCAGTGTGTGGGCGAACCTCCGCAGTGCGAGGCTGACTCCTGGTGCATCCACTGCACTTTGTAAACTCTGTGGCAACAAAGTGGTGCATGAATGAGTCCTGAAACTAGGAAATGAGTTAGCATTTTATAACTTTCTGTGACCTCGTTTAGTTTAGTTGAAGCCTGAAGAAGCCAGATTTCTAGGCTTGTTCTAAAACTGGTGAATGTCCAAAGTTTTTATGTCGTAGAAAACAAAGTGACTGAGACTACTAAACGTTATCACACCGAACACAAGTTCACTTTAAGCTTCCGTTTGCTTTTTACTTCTGGCGATTCCATTTACGCTTTAAATAAGCTAAAAGAGATGTTCATATGTGGAGAGTACCTTGCTGAACGTGTGAGTCATAAACGTGTTTACTTATGGAAGAGGATGCTGTACTTTGCAAGGGAGAGAGCAACTTCATAATTGCTCTCAAGAATCCTCTGTTTCTCCAGGGACTTGCCTCAGTTAACTCTCTCCATCTACATGTTTGCATCCAGCCCTATGTTAATCTATCTTGTTGTATTACTGTTTTCTTTTTTGCCCCCCCTATGCCCCCCCCCATCCTATTCAAAATCTGTCCTTGGGTTTCCTGAAAGGGCGCTATATAAATCCAAGCTTTTATTGTTATTATTATTATAAATATCAAAAACAAAATCTTAAAAGTGCACTTTAAAGCTGTGTTCAGAGAATTGAAGTGATGATGTGCAACACAAATATATTTTAATAATGCATCGTGTCTCAGTTAACCAACTCTGTGCCCTGAATAAAACATGGTGACATCACTATGTAACACTTGCGCTTCTATTGGCTAGCGCTTTAACACATTGTACCTGATAGGCTAAGGGGTGGGACATCTCTAAGCGGTTCACCAATCACAACAGAGCAGACCAGCTAACCAATCAGAGCAGACTGGGCTCTGGTTTCAGACAGAGGGTGAAAAGAGGTGCTGCAGCACAGACAGTATGAGAAAAATAAAGAGCTTTTTGAACATTAAAGCATGCTGTTTCTCAATATCTTTACCTTTTCTAACATTAATTTAACCAGTAAAATAAGCTTACCTGGCATGAATTTCTTCTGCTCTTCTTCCGTCTGCTTTCGAGTGTGCATCTGTGCGAGAGACTTGTAATGGCGGCAGAAGTTAAACTTAAGGAACATGAGTGGGCGTGGTCATGGTTTAACTCCAATAGAATTGACTCTGCATTTTTGATCGCACTCTAGAAGCTATGAGTAATAAATACACTCCAAAATGATTAAATATCACTATTTCAGAGCAAAATAGTAATTACTCTGGAAAAAATACTCACCAATATTTCCTGTGTGGAGACATGTCCCAGTAGAGACACTACATACTGATATACACCTGAACATGAAAATGAGCAGAATAGGGCCCTTTTTATATAATGTCAGGTGTGGGGAGGGTGAAGAGATGAACAAGGGTTGGCTATTATTAAAAAACGTGTTTATGAACACTTTCAATAAAAGATAACATGAACTAAATCTATCCTTATACTCAGGATGAGCATTGCCTCCAGCATGCCTGCTTTTCTCACAGAGGGTACTCCTGCTTTTCACTGCTTACTAATTCAAATATATTATTTTAATTGTGATCCAGCAACAAAATATGCTCCATGTGTGTGTCCTTCAGGTGGAGACGGTAGGAGAGAGGATAGTCTTATACATCCTCAATCGTGTCGTGTATAGAGCCCAGGAGATGAGCTCTGAAGAGCTCCCCTTCCTCTGCCACGGAGAGAAAGATCATGCAAAGATCCTCTGGAGTCATGGAGAGGCTGTCGGCTTCTACTCAGTCAAACCCCAAGGTACTGTGTGCCACGATAATGCATCTACACAAAACATGTATTTGTGTCACTTTTCCGACAATAAACAAGTAAACAACACAATAACAAGCAACACCAGCACAGTACAATACAACAACATTGTTGCCAGACAGTATGTTATCTAGAGCAGTGGTTCTCAACTGGTGGGTCGCGACCCAAAAGTGGGTCGCGGACCCGTTTCGAGTGGGTCGCGGATGTGTGAGTGAAGGAAAAAAAATTGGATTTTTCTTTTTTTTGGGAAAAAGTCAAACTTTTATTTTGAAGGCCCGATTTTCTTCTCAGAGTGTACCAGAATGCGTAGTTTATGTTAGTATTTCTAAAAATCTCCTGGGGGAGAATCCCCCCAGACCTCCCTGTTGGAGTTGGGTTTCAGCATGTGTGCCTTTTTATATAGTTCAGCTTTGATTCCATCATCTCATTAAACCTTTTTTAAAAGCATACTTTAGTTCTGTGAAGGGATATAAGGGATATATGCACTGTACTTCACTTTTATTAATATTGTATGCTCAAAAGCGTATATATATATTACAGCACGATTTTTTGTTGAATAGATTTGAGTGCTTCAAAATGTTGGGTCACGATGTATTGACCAAGTAAAAAGTGGGTCCCGAGGCCTGACCAGTTGAGAACCACTGATCTAGTTTCAAGAAAGATACTTTTTTTGTATTATGGACACAGACCGTGAGTTCACAAATATTTAATCAGGCGTTTCCAATAGTAGTTCAAACATTGAGACCATTTACAGTGTGTAAGTCTTTTCTTAGTCTTAATACAAATGTGTCTCCATCTCATGAATTTCTTTACTGATTTCGATCCAATGGTCTAATGTAGGAGGATCGGCTTGTAACCAAATGGGAGTCATCTTTTTTTCTTTACGGCTAAAGTGAATATTTTCAGAAGGTATCTATCCCTCTCTGTTATTATGTCTGGTAGGTCACCCACATAAAGGACAACACATGAGAAAGGGATCTGTAAGCCCATAACGTGCTGCTTGGTTCTCCAAATATCAATCCAGATTAGGTGTATCTTTGTCCAATTGAGTAGCTTTTTAAGAACAATCTATCTTAAATCTAATCTGCAGACTTTCACTTTTTCTCCACAAAAAGTTGAAGTTGAGCAACCAGTCTTACCAACATTACCGTTGTTTGTATTTGGAATTCATCGTTATATTTATGGATGTTTTGACAAATGCACTTAAAAAACGGAAACTTTGACTTTAATTAAATGTTAGTTGAAAGCAATAATATTACGTTTAAATAAAAAATATAACTTACTTAATATTATTGCTAATAGTTATGTGAAATCCGTTGACATAATACATTTTATTAAAGTCAACGGTTCAGTTTTTTCAGTGTATAATTTCTATAGTTTCTGTTTAATAGTCAAGAGCCTATGTAATGTTTGAAGTGTTTTTTGGTTGTTTTGTCTGTACCTGCCCATCATGGACTACAGATGCATTTGATCTAATAACTAAAACTGGCATACATCTTCTCTTTTTGTGACTTTCTGCATGGTTCTTGTTTAATAAAGACATCATAATAACAATGTATGCTTTTTGTTTCCCGTGTAGGTACCCTTTGTAATTCCTATTCAACCAGAAGCTATCAGCTGACTGTCATGGACTCCATATTTGTTAGAAAAGGTCAGCGTGGGAATGGCTTCGGCCTCCAGATGCTGGAGGACTTCGTGCTCAGTTCCAAAGAGGACTGTCTGGGTCTGAGGTACCCGCTCACAAAACCCATGTATAAAGGTAAATGATGCACATTATGGATATGGACGATGTGACTCACAGACAGCTGTGTTTGTGCTGGTATTTCATACAAGTACAAACCCTTAACTACAATGCTCTTTGTTTGTAGTGTGTGAGAAGTACCTGTGCCAGTACCCAGAAGACACACATCTGCTGTGGGAGGTGGAGAGCATCGGGGCCCCCAACCAGAGGACCAACATCTCGAGCAGGATCCAGGCCATGGATCAAATCGGTAAGAAAGACCTTAAATCAGTATTTTTCAAACAATTCTATCATCCTGAAATAGAGTGGTGAAGTAATGAATCCTAAAACCCGGAAAATACTTTTACCACTTCTGGTTCCCTCGTCTCTTAGTCAGCTGTTTCTTTGAATGTGTTTGTGGTTAGAAGCCTGTAATAAGGTCTGTGGTTAACACAAGCTTATGAGATATCCAAGTTTTGTCATAAAATGCATCAGTAAATACTCCACTGGTGAATGTCTGAAGCTTCTGTTTAAAAAAAAAACAACTGTTGCTATAGTTGACAAAAAAAACTACTGAACATCATCACGCCAACTCAAATCTGCCTTTAGCTTAGCGGTGGTGATCCGCAGCCATGCTACTGTGATGTAGTTTGTTTATAGCATTACGTTAGCTTTTTATTTCTGCCAATTGCATTTACGCTTCACATAGTGGTGTTAATATGTGGAGATTCTCCTGCTGCCACAGAGCCTGTTTTCTTAAAAATCCCATAGGGAAATCCCATTGCTTTTTGTTAAGGGATCCCTTGTGATGCCTAAAAAAAAAAATAGTATAGTCAAATGATTTATTTGAAATCTGCAAAGAATGCACTGAAAAATGATTTCAGCTTTTTAATGATTGTCTAAGCATTGACACACTGCCTGTCTACCTGTGTTTCTCAGCAGTATCCAAGAGTCTGACATTCACAGAGGAATCCCTGGTGATCACTGAAATGACTGAAAAGGATGTGGTGATGGAGGCAATAAGCACTCAAATAAAAGAAGCTGAATCTATGGAATGCACAGTTGAAATTGTGGTACATAATAATTTTTTCCTTACAAATTGAAACAAATGTTTTTGAGAAACAAAATAATTAAAGTAAAAATAATCCCTGTGATTTCAATTTGTAGGAGGAAGTGACCGTACTGAGCGCTACCAAAGGTGAGAACGCTAGCATTTTACATCTATGTTAAAAAAAGATTGTATATTAAAGGTTCTCAGGCCTTCTGAGCATTAATATAGCAGTAGACCACTATTTGTTATATACACATACTTTTATTAGTCTCTGCACAGCGCTCATATAGCCGCTACCAATGATCAGGTTCCCACTCGTGCTGTTAGCATTGCTAGCTCCATTAGCTGCTAGCCACCCGCCATGTTGAGAGCCATTTGGAGGCAATCCCTTGTCATAGATATGCTCTGAATTCCATAAACAGTAGATAGCCTTGCATGTATTTTTCAATACATTAATGAAGATTGTACCAATTGTTTCAGTCTCTGAGGCCGAGGTGCCCCTTACAGCCCGGGGAAGAAGCAGTGGCTCAAAACGAAGGAAGACGGCTGAAAAGATTGCAGAGGAAAAGTCCGAAAAAATAATCAGGTGTGTGTGAAATAAACCAGGATACTCCTGGAAAAGGCATGAATGCAAATAAGGGAATTGGGAAATTCAATTGTAAATGCTTGTAATTTGACGTCTCCATTTCAAATGGCTGTAAATCTAATGAATCTCATCAGAACGTACAACTCAGAGGAAGGCAAGAAAAAAAGGTCAACAAGAAATCCTTTATTCCATCAGCTGTGACCATCCTTTTAAAACACCCACTAAGTCACTTTAAGATGACATTTATTTTGTCTAATGTGTTTGAACTGTTTTTTGTGCTGTGTATGGTGAGCAGAGGTCGCGTTAACCGAATATTTTCCGTCTTTGACGGATTTCTTTTAACAATGACGGAAAAATCTGAAAGCATTCCGTCATTTTGACGGATTAGAACAAACTCGGAACAGCGCCAAAGTTTCCCCGCAGCGAGGCTCCGGTGTTATGTCGTGTTATGCATGCCCGCCAAAAAGGAAATGATACCGTTTCCAAACCTAACTTTGCCGTACAAATCATTGAAATGTCTGCGAGTTTTTGCTTTACGCTGTGCGCGCTCCCGCAAGGTGCAGTGGGCATGCATAACACGGCGCTAACAGTTCACGAGCGTGCTCTCTCTCCCCCCCCCCCACGTCAGAGTTGTGTAAAGGCCGACGGAAATGTTGCGATCCTGTCCGTCAAAATGACGGGCAGCGAAAAAGTCTAGCGCAACCTCTGATGGTGAGTGTTATGAATCTAAAGTTTCAGTAATGAACAATTACCTGCCATTTCTAGGTAAAATCATTGAAAAAGTTGTATTTCAACAGTTGAGTAACTTCTTGCATTTAAATAACTGTTTGGATGTGTTCCAGTCAGGATTTCGTCCAAACCACAGCACTGAGACTGCTCTTGTAAAGGTCTTCAATGACATCCACTTAAACACAGACAGTGGCAGAACTTCAGTGTTAGTATTATTAGATCTCAGTGCTGCGTTTGACACTGTTGACCACAACATATTACTAGACCGACTAGAAAACTGGGTGGGACTTTCGGAAACAGTTCTAAATTGGTTTGAAACAACTTTGTTTCTATAGGTAAATACACATCTGAGTTGACAAATATGACATGTGGGGTACCTCAAGGCTCCATCTTGGGGCCTCTTCTCTTTAACGTCTACATGCTACCACTGGCTCAGATAATGAAGAACAACAAAATAAGTTACCATAGCTATGCGGATGACACACAAATGTACATAACCATTTCACCAGGAGACTATGCTCCAATTCAAACACTGAGTAAGTGCATTGAACAAATCAATGACTGGATGTGTCAGAACTTTCTCCAATTAAACAAAGATAAAACTGAGGTAATGGTTTTTGGAGCCAAGGCAGAACGTATAAAAGTTAGCGCTGAGCTTCAGTCTGCAATGTTCAAAACAACAGATAAAGCCAGAAATCTAGGTGTAGTCATGGACTCTGACCTGAGTTTCAACAGTCACATTAAAACAGTTACTAAATCAGCCTACTATCACCTAAAGAACATATCTAGGATTAAAAGACTAATGTCACAGCAGGATTTGGAAAAACTTGTCCATGCTTTTATCTTCAGTAGACTGGACTACTGTAATGGTGTCTTTACAGGTCTCACTAAAAAATCTATTAGAAAGCTGCAGCTAATTCAGAACGCCGCTGCTCGAGTCCTCACTAACACTAAGAAAGTGGATCACATCACTCCTGTTCTGAAGTCCTTACACTGGCTTCCTGTGTGTCAAAGAATAGATTTCAAAATACTGCTGCTGGTTTATAAAGCTTTGAATGGTTTAGGCCCAAAATACATTTCTGACCTACTGCTAAATTATGAACCATCCAGAACTCTCAGGTCTTCAGGGACTGGTCAGCTTTCTGTCCCCAGAGTCAGAACTAAACATGGAGAAGCAGCGTTCAGTTATTATGCTCCAAATATCTGGAACAAACTCCCAGAAACCTGCAGGTCCGCTGCAACTCTTACTACTTTTAAATCCAGGCTGAAGACTTTTCTTTTTGCCGCTGCTTTTAATTGAACTATTCACATCTTAAACTGCACTGTAACTTTTATCCATGTATTTTTTCTTTTAATGTCTATTTTATTATCTTTTCTTTTTAATGACTGATTTTAAATGCCATTTTCTTAATGTCTTCCATTTTTGTAAAGCACTTTGAATTGCCTTGTGTTGAAAGGGGCTATATAAATAAACTTGCCTTGCCTTGCCTTGCCTAAAGTTCATTATCTGTCATGACAGCTTTGTGGCAAGTTATCTTGTCAGAGCCACATTTGGAGTGGTTATAACACTAGGCTTGTTTTTTTTACCATGTTATGCTTGAAATGAACAAGTGCTATCTAACATCTTTTAGAATTGAGGATATCGAAGCAGAAACCCCCAGAGAGGAGCACGTTGCTGAATCTCTCCAGACTGAGGTGTGTATATGCAAACTCTCATCTGCCTACATGACCAGTACAGAAACTCGTTCATGGGTTAATTTACTATGTTTATGTTTTAGGATGTGACCAGTGTTGTGCCTGAAGAACAAGGACAGGATGTAGTTGATACAGAAGCAACTATATTGGACCAACCAGACGGAGGCGATGCCCCCCAGGATCTGAATACCTGCTCTCATGACTCTCAGATAGCTGTTGAGAATGTGGCGTCGGGAATCGAGGAAGATACTGCAGTGCTGCCGCTCTGTGAAGACATTTCATTGGTACCCAAGGAAGCAGAAACTCTGCACAGCGTGGAACAGGCAGCAACAGTTGGACAGCAAGTGGTCAGTTTATCAACACATGCAGCAGCAGAGAACGGTGAAGCTGAAGAAACAAGAGGAGCCGTTGTAAAGGCCAAAAAATCTGCGCAGAGTAAAACCCCCAGACGCAAATCTACCCGTCACAGCAAGCAGGAGGAGGAGGAGGCGAAGGAGGGACCTGCAGCCCAGGATGGACGGATCTCTCTGAGAGGAAGAACTGTAGTGAGCACACCCAAAACCACACGGAAATACACACGACGCAGCCAGAGGGTAAGGGACGAGGTCGATGGAGTTTCTACACCTGAAGCTGGCACTGAGGGAGAAGAACAGGAGGAGAAGAGCTCCGTAAAAGAGGGTGTGGATGCGGTGGAAGAACTGGCCGAAGACAAGCTGGAAGAAAATGAAGAGGAGACAGAGAAACAGCAGGAACAACTGGCAGTGAAGGCGAGCTCCACTGAGCTTACAGCAGAGACCGCAGCAACACAGGATCACGAGGAGGACAAAGGTACGGATGAATGTGAGGAAAAACAAACGGGTGATGAGGCGACAGAAAATAAACCAGATGTCTCTGAGGAGGAGGCAGAGGAGCCTCCTGTTGTACAGAAGAGAGCTCTGAGAGGCAGATATAAAGTCGCTACCAAACAAAGCCAAGATCTTCAAAAGCCAGAGGAGCAGCACCTAGATGAAGGGGAACAGAAAGCAGAGGAACAAGCAGCAGATCAACCTATGGAGGAACGCCAGCAGGTAGAAGAAGAAGAGAAAGCAGACCAAACAGAAGGAGAGACATCAACCGAGGAAAACACTGTAGCGGTAGAAGAAACTGTTCCAAAGGCAGAGGAAGTTAGTCCTTCTACTGAGGTGAACGTGGAGGGGGTTCAGGTAGAGGAAGAGACTACAGAACCAGAGGAAGAGACTACAGAACCAGAGGAAGAGACTACAGAACCAGAGGAAGAGACTACAGAACCAGAGGAAGAGACTGCAGAACCAGAGGAAGAGACTGCAGAACCAGAGGAAGAGGCAGTCTGTGACACAGCTGCTGCTTCAGAGACAGTCACACCTGAGGAGGTTCCTAGTGAGACTGGAGAGCCTCAGGAGAAGGACATCAGCTCTGAAATCCCCAAGCTCCAGAAAGCCACTGTGATCTTAGTGGACATAAAATCAACGAGCTATCATCTTAGTGCGAAGGAGGCCGATGAAGCAGTGGATGGAGAGACTGCTCGACGCGAAGAGGAGGATGGAGGGAAGCAGGAACACATTTCAGAGGGATCTGCAAAGACTGACGAGAAGCAAGAGCTTGAAGGGCATTCTGAAAAAGCAGAAGAAACACAATCTGCCGTTGTGGCAGAGAAAGAAATGGTTATTGAAACAAGAGAAGAGAACTCAGCAGAGGAAAGTGAAGGCCACCAGCAGCAGGAGGACGACACCATGGGGGAGGGTATTGGTGAGGCGGGGGCAAAGGAAGCAGGCACAGCTCCAGTGGGGTCTGCAGACACAGCAGGAGACCACGCTGAAGAGGGTCTCCCACCAGCGGAGGAAGGAGAGCCAATGAGCCTGGAAGAGGAAGACACACCAGTTGTAGTGACCAGAGCTCTGAGGAACAGAAGCAAAGGAAGTGCAGCTTCACCAATACGCAGCACCAGGAGCAGGAAGGAAGTGGAAAACAGTGAAGAAGAGGAAGAACCGGCAGTGACCACACGGACACTGAGACGTGGGAGGAAAGCCATCTCTGACACACCCAAGGGCAAGTCCAGAAGAAGCCGTAAACGCGTCCAAGAAGAAGAGGAAAGTGTGGAGGAAGCAGGAATAGAGGCTGAAGAAGAGATTAAACACGAGGCTCCCTCTGAAAGAGAGGCACGTTTGGAGCCAAAGGAAGGTGTCGAGAAGGCAGCTGCAGAAAAGAGTACTGATGGAGATAATGAAGAAGAAGCAGGGCTGGGACCAACAGAGGAGGACAAGGAGAAAGCCCCAGAGGAGGATCAGATGGAGGTGGGGAACGAAGAAGCTGCTGCTGAGGATCCTTTAGTACCAGAAGGAGAGCCTCACCTTGCTGCTGACTCGGCTGTACTCTCAGCTACTGAAGAAGAGGAGCAACCTAGTGAGGAAACGGCCCCCCAGTTTCCTGATCTCCAAGAGACACTGCTGAGTGACGCCCAGGAAGAAACATCAGCTCCGGCTCAGGAGAGTGTTCCTGAGCCGGAGGTGAAGGTGGAAGAGGAGAGAGGGGAAGCAGGGACAGTACAAGCTGCAGAAGAGGAAGACACTTCTAATGACGTGGAGCAGGAAGCTACAGTCATCGAAACCAGAACAAGGAGAAGCAGTAGGAAGCAAGCGGCCGAAGCCACGCCAAGAACCCGAGCAGCGAGAAGCAGACAGACAAAGGGGGATGGAGAAAAGGAGGCAGCTTCTGGAATCCAGGAGGAGGAACCAGTCAGGGTTCTGAGGAGAGGAAGGAAGAGTATCCCCTCTGCACACACAACCAGAAAGAGCCCCAAGGAACCTCAAGAAGAAAAAGAAGAAGAGGGGGGAGAGGAGGAGAGGGGGGAGGTTGCAGAGGTAGAGAAAGAGGAGGAGAGGGGGGAGGTTGCAGAGGTAGAGAAAGAGAAGGAGGGGGGAGAGGTAAAGGGAGAGGAAGAAGAAGAAAAGCGGGAAGAGGTTTCTGCAGCAGGAGATGAAGAGTCAGAGAACGCAGGACAGGCGGTTGATGAGGAGCAGGGGGGGGGGAGGGGAGGAAAGGGACGAACCTGTCCCAGAGGAAGAGGAAGCTGTTGTAGCGTCAGAGGAAGAGGAAGCAGGCGAGGACACAGAGACTGCAGAAGAAGCTGTCCCAGAGGAAGAGGAGGCTGTTGTAGCGTCAGAGGAAGAGGAGGCAGGCAAGGACACAGAGACTGCAGAAGAAGCTGTCCCAGAGGAAGAGGAGGCTGTTGTAGCGTCAGAGGAAGAGGAGGCAGGCAAGGACACAGAGACTGCAGAAGAAGCTGTCCCAGAGGAAGAGGAGGCTGTTGTAGCGTCAGAGGAAGAGGAGGCAGGCGAAGACACAGAGACTGCAGAAGAAGCTGTCCCAGCACCGGAGACAGTGCAGGAGGAACAGCCAGCCTCTGAAGGAGCAGAGAGTGCACAGGAGACCGTGGAGACAGCAGAGGATGACAAGGACAAAGGTGCGTCTGAGGAGGAGGAGGAAGCAGGAGACACACCTACTGCAGAAAACAAGAGGAAGAAGTAGCTGGAGGAGAAAGCGCAGAAGAAGAAGAACCACCAGTAGCAACAAGAGCTCTGAGAGGTGGAAGGAAGTCTGCTGCTGCGAGACGTTCCTCCAAGAGAGCCCGCACACAGCGGCAGGCAGAGGAAGGAGCTCCTGAAGAGACAGAAGCAGAGCAAACTGGAGCTGTGCCGCAGGGAGCTGCAGACCAGAAGGCCGAGGAAGAGGAGGGAGAGGAAGCTGCAGCTCAGAAGACCGAGGAAGAGGATGGAGAGGAAGCTGCAGACCAGAAGGCCGAGGAAGAGGATGGAGAGGAAGCTGCAGACCAAAAGACCGAGGATGAGGAGGGAGAGGAAGCTGCAGACCAGAAGACAGAGGAAGAGGAGGGAGAGGAAGCTGCAGCTCAGAAGACCGAGGAAGAGGAGGGAGAGGAAGCTGCAGCTCAGAAGACCGAGGAAGAGGAGGGAGAGGAAGCTGCAGCTCAGAAGACCGAGGAAGAGGAGGGAGAGGAAGCTGCAGCTCAGAAGACCGAGGAAGAGGAGGGAGAGGAAGCTGCAGCTCAGGAAGAACTTACAGAGGCAGAGGTTGAGAAGGAAAAGGAAGAACCTGTGGCAGAGCAGGAGATGGTTGGAGAGGAGGAGTGTGCTTCTGTTGAAGAAACAGCTGCAGACAGACATCATGCTGGACAACAAGATGACGAGGAAGAGGAAGCTGGAGGAGAAAGCGCACAAGAAGAAGAACCAGTTATAGAAACAAGAGTTCTGAGGAAGGGAAGGAAGTCTGCTGCTGCAGCACCTAGGCGTACATCCAGAAGAGCCCAGAAACAGAAAGAGGAAGAAGCTCCTGCACCTGAAGAGGAGGCACAGCAGGAAGAGGAGGTAGAGGAAGAGGAGGCACAGCAGGCGAAGGAGGAAGCAGTGGTGCCTGAAGAAGACAGTGAGGAGGCTGAGGAAGAGGAGACAAACACAGCTGAGGAAGAGGAGGAGGAGGATTCTGCCAGTGGATCTGCTGAAGAGGCTCTAAGTGAAGATGGGTCTGTGGAGGAAGAGGAGGGAGCAGAAAGAGTGGAAACACCTCCTTCATCCTCTCCAAAATCCAAAAGACAGAAAGACCAAGAGGTAGAGGACTCGCCGCGGAGATCCGTACGAAAGAGGCCAAGAGTGGACTACAGTGAGAAGGATGAGGGGGGGGGGCCGGGTGAGACCAACCCAGAGGGGAAGGGTCAGAAGGAGCCAGAGGAGGGGAGGGACAAGATCCATCTGGTACTAGATTCAGAAGACGAGGGAAGTGAAGAGGAGGAGCCTGTAGAGACTGGGAAGAGAGTCCTGAGAGGGAGGTCTGTCCCTTCAGTGGTGATCACCCCCCCGTCTCAAAGCACACGCCGCAGTGCTGCAGTGGAGAGGGCAGAGGGGCGTGTGACTCGCTCCGCTCAGAAGAGAGGGAGCAGCGAGGATACACCGAGCAAGCCCAAGAGAATCAGCAGAATTTAGGATTCACACACACACACACGCACACGCACACGCACACGCACACGCACACGCACACGCACACACACTAGAGCGCAGCTACATAACAGGGTAAATGCAGACAAATAATTACATGACATGTCACTTGTTAGACGCTTTTATCCAAAGCTCCATACTCAATACTGTGGACAATCCCCACAGGAGCAATTTGGGGTGAAGTGTCTCAGGGACACAACGACATGCTGACTGCAGTGGGGTTTGAACCTGTGACCCCCTGATCCCAACACCTACGGACAACCCATTACGCCACACGCCCCCTAAAAACCCTTTCTCATACTGTATTGAAGCGTCTGTAGTGTGCAGGCTGACACACTACAGTACGTTTTCATCTTGATTCAAAGCAATGGTGTTATAGAGTAGCAGGAATGAGTGCTAAACGTGGGAATGAGTTAGCATTTTAGCAGCTCTGAGTTCCCTCGACTCGAAGACAATGTTTTTGTGTTCAGTTCTTAGTTAGAGGCCTGAAATAAGTTCTGTGGTTATTACAAGCTTACAAGATATTCATGATTTGTTCTAGGACATAACGTCATGAAACACCCCACTGGTGAAAGTCAGTGTTTTACGTGTCTTAGAAACAGCAGATTTAAAAAGTGACTAAATGAGACTAGTACACACTGTCACGCTAAAGATTAGCCGCCTTTAGCTTAGCGGTAGTTTGGTTATAGCATTAAGCAATTTTTCTTCATTTGTGCTTCAACTATTATAAACGTGATGTAAATATGTCGAGATTATCCTGCTGAACAAAACGTATAAGTATCATAAACGTGTCTTTGCCACAGATCTTATTTTCTGCTATATTCCAAAATCAAATAGAAAAATCCCATGCTTTTTGTCGAGGGAGTTCTTGCGATGCTAACTTACTCGTCATCACTGCTCCACCCCATTACATTACATGTCCCTTGTTAGACAACTTACATACATTCAGTACTGTGGGCAGTCCCCACAGGAGCAAACTGGGGTGAAGCGTCTTGCTCAGGGACACAACGACATGCCAACTGCAGTGGGGATTGAACCAGCGCCCCCCTGAGCAACCCAGTGAGCCACAGCCTCCCTATTAATGACCATCACTTACTGTTACAGTACGGATTAGCACATTGGATTTCTTATAAAGTTTTTGTAACAGAACATTCTTACAAGCTGGGGAAATAATATTTTTATATTGTAAAAATGTGAATCTTTGCATTGTGCAACAAATCTCTCAATTATTTGTTTTGGTAATTTTGTACTCGCTTACACCATGCTTCAAGAAAAGGAATTGGTCTTTTTAAAACAGATTTGTACTCTACAAAGGAACCAGCCATGTTGTACAGGTTGTTTGTACTTTGATTACAAAAATATTACCAAAACATGTTCTTGTTTTGCAGCTATCAGCAGAACTCAGGTCTTAATATGAGCTTCTTTTTTTATACATCTCACCTGTAGAGATCCATGTTATTCACCATGAGGACATATCTGTCCTCACTCATGTTGTTTTTAATTATGTGATAGTATTTAGTCAGCATTATTCATTGTGTCCATTTAAAATATGCTTTTGTTGTTTGTATCAAGATAATGTGTTTTCTTTAGCTGATTTTGTTGTGCTTATTAGCAGATATTAGGTCATTAACTCCTTATTTACCTGTGTGGACTAAACTGATCTGTGAACTTATTTTTCCATTAGCTGAATAAAGATTTCAAAAGGTAGTTATTTTACTGTTGTGTACTTATTGGTTATGAAAAGAGTTCCATCTGATGTCATTGTTCAAACCCCCACACACACACACACACATACAGGTTTTGCTATTCTTGTGAGGGCCATGACCCAAGGGCAGGGTGTGAGGACCCCCCTTTCTGCTATAGCCACAAAGATGAAAAAAATATCTCTAACACAAGATGGGGGTAGTGAGACAGAAAGTCACTTAAAATGTTAAAACACAAATTTTCACACAAGTGGTGAATTTGGTCGGTGTTGTGAGGACCGGCCAGTTGCTAGGCAGATTTAAGTGTGTGTTTTTCCCAGCAGTTTTGACAAGTTTTCTTCTCAAAAACCTTTTATGAGCCCCATGGCCCATAGCATTACAGATTGGCATTGCACATAAGACAAATGAAAAGACTATAAATAAACAATTCTAAAATGTAAACATCACAAATAGAAATAAAACAGCATTCAAAAAGTAGAAAATATACATGTTGAAATACCAATTTACAGTAAACAAAATAAATATAAAAGCAGGATATTATATACATTAAGTGTGTAGGAATGGAATATTAAATTAAGTATACATGTAAAATGTAGTGTGAGTTTAAGTCCAGTTATCCAAAGAGATAAGAGATTGTTGAATCCTAAAACCTTATTTGTAATATTCTATAATGATATGTTTCAGTCCCTGCCTGCAGGCCCGTATTATTTAATTTAAAGTCTATGCCGGTGTATATGTCTCTCTCAGTTTCTTAAATCCTCACCTTCTTCTCTTCTCCCATGTTTTGTTACTAACCCTTTCTCCTCTGTCTGTGTGAGTGGTTGGTGTTTCTTTCTTGCTGTATGGATGTGGCTCCCATCTTTAGGCCTCCCAATGCTGTCCCTGGTCCTGCTGTCCCTGCATGGCCCTGCTCCTCCTGCATCCCTCACAGCCATTCCCATTGTTTCATGCATTTACATACCATATTCTGTCTTTGCTTTCTAGTCTTGATACCTCCCTTGTGTATTAAACAGTATTATAAGCCATACTGTGTTATGTCCTAAGTATTCACTCAGGTCTTTCAGGAAACTAAGGTTGCATTCACACCTAATAGTCCTCTTCTTTGGTGTGTTAAAACATTATAAACACATATAATGACAGACTGCAGTAAGGAGGGCTCTGATCAGATTGTACCACAGCCTTTTGTTGTACACAGGGGACCAGTGAGGTGAGCAGTCACAAGCAAATATAACCTAGCTTATAGGCCGAACCGCACCAAGCGGTTGAACGCACCAGGGTTCGATTCAACCAGACTAAACAAGGCTGGTGTGAACATGACCTAAGACAAGGTATTACTTCCTTCACAAAACAAACAATGCAAGAACTATAATCACAGATTGATTTATTTGACAGGTGTGTTGAACTACAGTTACAAAAACACTCACCTACTGTCCATTCACTCTAACTCTACATTAACATTTCTCTCTTCTAACTCTACATTGACTCTACTAACTACTTGTGTCACAGAGTGAACCACTTGTTTTTGGTGAGATTTCGTGGAAACAACACACTATTGTAAAAATGTCACGTTTGCTTAATTAAGCCATTATGTGTGGAAATTCTATGTGATAACTGCATCTTTCAAATACGTTTTCTGTCTGTGTAACAATCCCAAAGGTATGATTGAGTGCCAGCGTGCATTATTGAGCCAAATTGTCCATTGTCCTGGGTTGCCAGTCAGACATGTGAACACATTTTCCTTTAAATCTGAAACGTATATGTAGTTTTGTAAAATTTGCTACTGATTACGATTTTACAAAATAACTTCACTGCTGAGATCAAGGGACAAGGCAACACTGTCCCAACAGGCAGAGGAACAATAGTGAATGATAAACAAACCATCTGTTTTACTTGGGAGAGAAAACTAAGGCAAATTCAAGAAATCTTACACAATCTGTTCAACTAGTCCTTCCGCCCAAATAACAGATTTGTTAAATGAGAATTCTACAATCTGGCAAACCAATCTTCAGGATGGCATCATTTGACAGTGCTCTCCAAAACTTTCACAAATGATTTGTAAAGCCATATCATTACAGGACTATCATTACGGGACCTTATGTCATTTAGAAAGAACAGTCATGGCAGACTCATATTGGATTTAAGATCATAGTCAATAACTGTAATAATAACAAATAACTAGAGGCCTCCACGTAATACTAGTAACTTAAGAATTCAACTTATGAACGTTTTCTGATTGGCCACTGGTAAAGGTTGGGCAACTCGTATTTGACCCTGAAATTTGTGTCCTCTTTGGGGCAGTGAGAACAAGATGTGACACAACACTGACATCTACGGTGGCCCTGAAGTGCAAGTCAAAACAACATTTCACAAAACGCTACAGCATTTCAGGAAACACCACAGCATTTCAGGAACCACCACAGCATTTCAGGAACCACCACAGCATTTCACAAAACACCACAGCATTTAAACTTATACGGAAAGGGTATTCCTTTAGGGAGAACACTTCTTGTTTGTGATTGGACAGAGCCAGCCAGAGAAGCACTGCTGTGATTGGTTGTTTTTACTGCCAGTCAAGAAATGACGCTTCGTGATTGGTCAGCACCCGACAGCGCAACATGCCCCAAAACATCAGCCGTTAGCTGTTAGCACTCAGAGCTCACAGCTCCTCATATCTGTTCAGAAACTAGACAAAAGTTAAACAAGTACAAACCACAGACTGTCTGTGTCATGGCGAATACAGTCGCAGCTTTATTTATGTCTGTATGACGTTGCTGTGAGTGTGGACGGAGCAGCTACAGGTTAGTTTAGCCTGATCGATCCGATCTCCATTCAGAAAACACGCATTTTAAAAGGTTTTTCGCCTGCCGTCTTGTCTGCACACTTGTCACAGCATTAATTCATGGTTTTTAATAACCGGTATCAGTATGTTGTTACTTCGGCATCACTTTGAAACGTGTATTACAATTAAATCACGGTAAAATATGTTCATTTTGTTGTAGTCTACCATAGTATTTACAGGGAGATAAGCCCCGAATATTCGCATCGCTCTAATCGTGATTTAATTGTAATACACGTTTCAAAATGATGCCGAAGTAACAACATACTGATACCGGTTAGTAAAAACCATGAATTAATGCTTTGACAAGTCTGCAGACAAGACGGCAGGCGAAAAGCTTTTAAAATGCGTGTTTTCTGAATGGAGATTGGATCGATCAGGATAAACTAACTTGTAGCTGCTCCGTCCACACTCACAACGGCATACAGACAGAAATAAAGCAGCGACTGTATTCGCCATGACACAGACAGTCTGTGGTTTGTACTTGTTTAACTTTTGTCCAGTTTCTGAACAGATATGAGGAGCTGTGAGCTCTGAGTGTGTGCTAACAGCTAACGGCTGATGTTTTGGGACATGTTGCGCTGTCGGGTGCTGACCAATCACGAAGTGTCATTTCTTGACTGGCAGCAAAAACAACCAATCACAGCAGTGCTTCTCTGGCTGGCTCTGTCCAATCACAAACAAGAAGTGTTCTCCCTAAAGGAATACCCTTTCCGTATAAGTTGAAATGCTGTGGTGTTTCCTGAAATGCTGTGGTGTTTTGTGAAATGCTGTGGTGTTTCCTGAAATGTTGTTTTGACTTGCACTTCAGGGCCACCGTAGACATCACCATATTTCACACGGTGAACATGCTAGCACACAGCTGCTTATCTACACTCGGAAATACGGCGCAACATTAGCATTCATTTAGAGTCATGTATCTCTCAGTGCACTTTTTTTTACCAGGGACTTTCATCAGCGTAATCCAATTGCCAAATTGACTCCACACAGCCTTTTTTTCTGCCTCACTCCAGGGCCTTCTTTGGTTTCCCTTCTGTACAGCAGAACCTTAATGAACAGTAAACAAAAAGACGATCCCTCAATGAAAGTCAACTAAACTAAACTGCTAGCAGTCATCAACAGGGCTGACTCGTGGGTTAAAAAAATGCAGTTAGTGAGTAAAAGTAAGTAAGTAAATGAGTAGGTTCAAGGAATTTCGAAAGTATATGCAATGTAAGATTGTACAATGTGATGTTATGCAAGAATGTTAGAAAGCAAATAAGTATAAAGTAGTAAAGCCTATATTTTAGTAATTAGTAAAGGTGTAGTAACACTAAAAAGTGGTACTTATTTAAATGCCAACAGCAAATACCCTAATATGATATATATTATAGACGTTATTTTATTGTGTGAAAGCCTCCAAATGTTTGTAGGATAAATCGCGAACAATTGTGGATGCCTTCCAGCTGGACACCTGATCTCCAGGGCGGGGTAGTGATGTATGAATACGGCCCAGTCACAGGGCTTTCACCTGGGGCTGACTGGAGATGATTTTCCTCGGTCCAGAGCATGGAGTGAGCCCTACTTGCCCGCTCCAAGTGCAATCTTTTTGGGGAGAGTATGGATGTCTCCCTGCAGGAAAGGAGTGGTGAAGTGATGTAACTAATGTATTTAGCCCAGTAACAGGGCTTTCATCAGGGGCTGCCTTAAGAGACAGGTGTACCGCCCCATTCAAACTCCCCACTGCCACACTGTCCCCGGAGCGGGTCTCTCCAGTCAGCCCCAGGTGACTGGGCCGTATTCATACATCACTACCCCGCCCTGGAGATCAGGTGTCCAGCTGGAAGGCATCCACAATTGTTCGCGACTTATCCTACAAACATTCGGAGGCTTTCACACAATACAATAAAGTCTATATTGAATATTTTATTAGGGTATTTAGGGTACAGCAATGTGTTGTATGTAGGTGTGTGTGTAAGTGTATTTCCGCGACACACATATCGCACAAATTAAATATCAAACTTTAATTCTGCCCGTGACTCGTTATTTAATTGTGGTTATAAAAATGTGGTTATAACATTTTTTTTATATAAAGTTTTATTGTCACAGCTACTAAAAGTGTGTTATAATTTTAAGTGTACATTCATTTGATACATACCAGTTGATCGTTTTGCTTTCTTCTTCTTTCCATTATCTGTGAAAACAACAAATTACCTTTGAGAAAATCCTCAATGAATTAAAATGGTACACAGCCGTCTAAATGCACACCATTAAATACTGAAACTCATAATTATTAAAGGCATTTAAGTGCAAAAGTCACAAATTGATAGCCTACTTTAAGCTTCAAATAAATATCAGTGGCCATTATTAACAATCCAGCTAGACCCTCTTGCACAATACAGGTGACGATTAATAGTGCCTTTACGGTAATAGCCTAGTACAAGGGTACAATAATGCATGTTTTTCTGATATCTTTGAGTAATATTTAAGTCCTTAATAAGGCTGACACTGTTGGACTCAGTACTAGTTTGACTGCTACCAGAAATAAAATGAAGTACTTCTCTTACTCTTTTAACTCTATTTCTCCCTCTCTCGTCTGTATCAGCAGGTTCTGGATGAAGCCTCTTGTGCTCGGGTCGTGAGAGCTCTGTTAAGAGAGAAACGAACATCAGACATTAAGAGTTACTTTAACATTAGAATGATCTTTCATGCCATTTGCAATCAATAATGAAAGCAATCAGTATTTATTTCCTGTACAAACTTATAACACTTCACAATAACAACATATCAACTACATAGTAATACAAAAGCAACCACCTGATAAACATATTGTCATGTCCTTTTAATTGGTTGGCTGGCTCTCTCTCTCTCCCTCTCTCTCCTGACAGCCTGTCAGTATCTCATGCAGCTCACTGATCCAGTAATGAGTGACCCGGCAGTGAAGAATAAATATATGTATAACTAGTTTAGCTTGTTCCAGAGGTAGATAAAATAGCGAAGTGTGTTAGGTCTAACTCTTAGTGTGTGTTTTGCTCCGCTCACCAGTCCCTCACAGCGGGTGGAGCTGCAGGATTTCTGCTTCACACACGTACCGCTATTTTATTGTCATTTTCGGACACCTTAAAATACTGCCAGACTGGTGGTGAAGTTATTTTGGCGAGCTTGTTTTGCTGCGCACAGAGAAAAGTGTCATGTATTTTACGTCATGCGATCAGAGGTGGGGGCTGCGGGCTGTGACTCCTGATCGGAGCAGAGACACATGTTCACTAAGCCGAAAAACGATATCCGGTCACAGAGATCTGCTATTTTAAAGTAAAGTCAACACATATCGACCCGAACGAACGAAAACAGTTTTAACATAGCCTATAGTTTTTTGTATATGACAAATTTGCGAGGGTGATGACGTCAGAGCATCGTCCATTTTAACAAACAAAATATATTATAAAAGGCATAATATATTTTATAAATGTAAGTGTATGTAGTTTGAGATGGTAGAGATTACATATGTATTAGTTAGATACAAATATACAAATGTATCAGGCAACATTTTAGATGTTACAGTCTTGCCTTAATAATTTTAGATGTCAGGTTAAAAAACGCATGCATTTTTGCATTCATATTTTATATATTTTACATGCAAGACCATGTGAGACTTACGCTTTGTGTTCGGACCGTCTCCACAGCAGCGTTAAAAAAATCTTGGAGGTGGGCGTATCTGAGGCTTGGGGATTTTTTTGCGATCAACCAATCACATGAATCTCCCGCCCGCGACATACGAAGCCAAAAAGCCCGAAGTAAACTGGATATAAACTCCCCAAAACAGGCGAAAACATACCACTGTCTCTGCCACCTCCCTCCATGCCTGGCTCCTCCGGTTTATATCCCGGTAGGTCTGGTCATAAAGCACCGGGTGATTGATTCGCTACCGCTAATTTCTCCTCCATTTTTTGGAATATGAGGAAATGACCTGCGGTCTGGCTCTCCCAGCATACACGCCGTTTGATTGGCTAGAGCTTGAACTGTCAGATTTGCGTACACGGGATTTGATTGGCTGACGCTTCCTCCTCAGCTTCAAAAGTTGAACATTGTTCAACTTTGGATCTTGAAAATCCTGAGAATCTCCGCTCGCCTGCCCACAATGCATTTCGGCGAAAGCGAAAAAAAGTGACGTCACCCCATTCAAAGTGAATGGGCAGAAGCGTTTCAAGATTTTTTAACGCTGCCGTGGAGACGGCCATGCTAACGTTAGCTTAATTTAGAGTTTAGCCTAGCCTCAGCAGTTCCACTCATGCCGGAGAATGCTAAAACATTAAACAACCTAACATAGTTAAAATATCACTTACCTGGAGCAGTTGTGTGTGTTTTTCCAGCTGTAATTCGTTACTCATTGCTGTGTTGCTTCTTTCACACACCATGTGGAGCTGCTTCAGTCTCAGTAATCTTCTTCTGTGCCGATCCATGTTTGTAATGATGCGTTCAGGTGCAAATGTAAAGTACAATGCGTCTTCATGTTGGAGTTTGCAAAATGTTTCAAAACCAAAATATTTCTTATGAAGTGAATTGCTCTCACTTGAAATAACTATCCCTAATAAGATTTGTAAGGAGAGATTACTTAACATAGTGTAGAAACTGTAATAGGGACTTACTGAGTCGGGGACAGTACAACTGTAATTGTTGTATTGCATGAATGCAGCATTAGCTGCTTTGAAGTTTTAGCGCCAAATGTGGTATTCAATAGAGTGGCGCCCATCTACTTCCGCCCCATGAGACCTTATTTCGGAAAAATAATGTATTGAAGTCAATGGAGAGAGAAAACTTATCTTTCGATCCCGTTTGAATTGTGCCATGAATTACACATATGATGTTTGTCAATCTTAAAAAATCATTTCCATGTCAAAAAAGTCACAGTTTGTCGTAAAACTGTTGAAATATAAGACTATGAAAAATACGCAACTAGAAAGACTACAAATCCCAGAGTCGCGTAAGTGATGTCACAATTGAGACACATAGAGATAGCTAAGATCAGCGCCATATGGCGCTGGCTAAGATAAGATAACTTTAACAAGATGCCTGTGTGCTTAGTACCAGGTTGTTATTATACCAGCAATGGGTCTTGCTCGTTCTTTCGCTTCCCGTCTGATGAAAGGACCAGGAGTGTGTGGATCAAGCTAGCTGGTAGCTAGCACGTTAGTTAGCATTACAGCCTTGTCATTTGTATTAGCCTTAACATGAAGTAACATTAAGTAACCCAAAATGTTAAACAGTAAGAGTAGTAGTCATATTTCGTGAACCCTTTGAAGAGTACTGTCACCGGTGTGATCATTCTGTAATACACCATTTAAGCCCGGGGGAGAAATGCTAACGCTAACGCTAGCGATCTTCTCTACTTCATGCTATCTGCACAAATGGTTGACATTAAACATTAAAACGACCAGGCAGTTCAGAGAGAATCAAAGGAAGACAGGCAGGCAGCTTTGCATGACATTCTTCAGGACGTGTTTCATTGTGGTGATAGTGAGGGTAGTCAATCGTTGTGTTGACAAGACAGTAGTGACGGCCATCTTGGTGACGTGTGTTGTTGACCAGAGATGTAGTTCATTGAGCGTTTCACACAAACAAATGTGTTACTTCACAGTTTTACGACACATTTTTTTTTTTTTTTACTTGCAAAATTATCTTTTAAATTGACAAATATCATATGTGTAATTCGTGGCACAATTCAAACGGGATCGAAAGATAATCTTTCTCTCTCCATTGACTTCAATACATAATTTTTCCGAAATAAGGAGGTCCACCGGAAGGGGAGGGACTTCGCCACTCTATTATTAAAAAAAACGTGTTTATGAACACTTTCAATGAAAGATAACATGAACTAAATCTATCCGTATACTCAGGATGAGCATTGCCTCCAGCATGCCTGCTTTTCTCACAGAGGGTACTCCTGCTTTTCACTGCTTACTAATTCAAATATATTATTTTAATTGTGATCCAGCAACAAAATATGCTCCATGTGTGTGTCCCTCAGGTGGAGACGGTAGGAGAGAGGATAGTCTTATACATCCTCAATCGTGTCGTGTATAGAGCCCAGGAGATGAGCTCTGAAGAGCTCCCCTTCCTCTGCCACGGAGAGAAAGATCATGCAAAGATCCTCTGGAGTCATGGAGAGGCTGTCGGCTTCTACTCAGTCAAACCCCAAGGTACTGTGTGCCACGATAATGCATCTACACAAAACATGTATTTGTGTCACTTTTCCGACAATAAACAAGTAAACAACACAATAACAAGCAACACCAGCACAGTACAATACAACAACATTGTTGCCAGACAGTATGTTATCTAGAGTTTCAAGAAAGATACTTTTTTTGTATTATGGACACAGACCGTGAGTTCACAAATATTTAAGGTTAATAGAACAGGCGTTTCCAATAGTAGTTCAAACATTGAGACCATTTACAGTGTGTAAGTCTTTTCTTAGTCTTAATACAAATGTGTCTCCATCTCATGAATTTCTTTACTGATTTCGATCCAATGGTCTAATGTAGGAGGATCGGCTTATAACCAAATGGGAGTCATCTTTTTTTCTTTACGGCTAAAGTGAATATTTTCAGAAGGTATCTATCCCTCTCTGTTATTATGTCTGGTAGGTCACCCACATAAAGGACAACACATGAGAAAGGGATCTGTAAACCCATAACGTGCTGCTTGGTTCTCCAAATATCAATCCAGATTAGGTGTATCTTTGTCCAATTGAGTAGCTTTTTAAGAACAATCCACGTTGTCATTTACGGCCATCAAGAAATGGAATATGCTTTAAGTTCCAGCTGAGCGTTAATATTATTGCTAATAGTTATGTGAAATCCGTTGACATAATAAATTGTATTAAAGTCAACGTTTCAGTTTTTTCAGTGTATACTATTATCTGTTTAATAGTCAAGAGCCTATGTAATGTTTGAAGTGTTTTTTGGTTATTTTGTCTGTACCTGCCCATCATGGACTACAGATGCATTTGATCTAATAACTAAAACTGGCATACATCTTCTCTTTTTGTGGCTTTCTGCATGGTTCTTGTTTAATAAAGACATCATAATAACAATGTATGCTTTTTGTTTCCCGTGTAGGTACCCTTTGTAATTCCTATTCAACCAGAAGCTATCAGCTGACTGTCATGGACTCCATATTTGTTAGAAAAGGTCAGCGTGGGAATGGCTTCGGCCTCCAGATGCTGGAGGACTTCGTGCTCAGTTCCAAAGAGGACTGTCTGGGTCTGAGGTACCCGCTCACAAAACCCATGTATAAAGGTAAATGATGCACATTATGGATATGGACGATGTGACTCACAGACAGCTGTGTTTGTGCTGGTATTTCATACAAGTACAAACCCGTAACTACAATGCTCTTTGTTTGTAGTGTGTGAGAAGTACCTGTGCCAGTACCCAGAAGACACACATCTGCTGTGGGAGGTGACCGTTGATTCCTGGTAGAAGTCCGGAGGAGTTCTGAGCGAGTGTCCCTCCAAATCTTACGGCACCGTTGAATGTGATGCTGGACAGAAGGAACTGCCAACTCACTCTCCTCCTCAGGAAACAGGGGAGGTTGGTACCCTAAGGAGGCTTCAAAAGGAGAGAGAGCAGTTGCAGATGACGTGAGCGAATTAAAGGAATACTCCACCCAGGGTAGAAGGGAGCTCCAGGTAGATTGATTGCGATTGGCAACACAGCGGAGAGTAGATTCCAGGTCTTGATTGGCCCTTTCAGTTTGACCGTTTGACTGGGGATGATAACCAGAAGTTAGACTGACAGATGCACCAAGTGAATGACAGAAATTCTTCCAAACCAGAGAGATGAACTGAGGTCCACGGTCGGAGACGATGTCAGCCGGGATTCCATGCAGGCGGAAAACATGCTGGGTGAGAAGTTGACCGGTCTCCAGGGCTGAGGGAAGCTTGGGCAGAGCTACAAAATGGGCACATTTGGAGAAACGGTCTACAACTGTTAGAATAGTTGTGTTTCCTTGTGAGGGAGGTAGGCCGGTGACAAAATCTAGTGCAATATGAGACCAAGGTTGACTTGGTATAGGAAGGGGCTGGAGCAATCCTGCAGGTCTCTGATGAGAGGCCTTGCTCCTAGCACATGTAGTGCAGGCTGAAACAAACTCCTTAGTGTCTCAGCAGTATCCAAGAGTCTGACATTCACAGAGGAATCCCTGGTGATCACTGAAATGACTGAAAAGGATGTGGTGATGGAGGCAATAAGCACTCAAATAAAAGAAGCTGAATCTATGGAATGCACAGTTGAAATTGTGGTACATAATTATTTTTTCCTTACAAATTGAAACAAATGTTTTTGAGAAACAAAATAATTAAAGTAAAAATAATCCCTGTGATTTCAATTTGTAGGAGGAAGTGACCGTACTGAGCGCTACCAAAGGTCAGAACGCTAGCATTTTACATCTATGTTAAAAAAAGATTGTATATTAAAGGTTCTCAGGCCTTCTGAGCATTAATATAGCAGTAGACCACTATTTGTTATAGACACATACTTTTATTAGTCTCTGCACAGCGCTCATATAGCCGCTACCAATGATCAGGTTCCCACTCGTGCTGTTAGCATTGCTAGCTCCATTAGCTGCTAGCCACCCGCCATGTTGAGAGCCATTTGGAGGCAATCCCTTGTCATAGATATGCTCTGAATTCCATAAACAGTAGATAGCCTTGCATGTATTTTTCAATACATTAATGAAGATTGTACCAATTGTTTCAGTCTCTGAGGCCGAGGTGCCCCTTACAGCCCGGGGAAGAAGCAGTGGCTCAAAACGAAGGAAGACGTGTTACGCTCACCGGTAGCTACAGGAGTGAACTCACAATGCTGAACACAGGACGATGAAACAGAGCTTTTGAGGTAGAAAAAGGTTTATTAACCAAAAACCTTATATAGAGTCAGACGAGGGATTTAATATCCAATAAACCCAAAGCCAGGGTTTGTCAACTGAGGTGGTGCGGATATGCACGGAGATACTCTGGCGAGGAGAGCCGGGGGACCAGAGCTGGTGAGAGTCGACAGGAAGGAGCTGGTGTGCGTGGAAGCACGAAGGTACACTGGCGAGGAAAGCCGGGGATCCAGAGCTGGCGATAGTTGACAGGTTGGAGCTGGTGTGCGTGGAAGCACGGAGATACTCAGACGAGAGGTACGTGGCTGGATGTGGCAGGCAGAGGAGTAGGCAGATGGATTCTGACGGAGAACACAAGGGTTAGATTTGGCAGGAACACAGAGAGTTAGTTTTACCATAAACTACATGTACCAAGTCGAATTACCAGCGAGGTGAAACGACGAACTGGTGAATACTGGATGAGAGGACCGGGCATATAAGCAGGTGAAGGTGAGTAGTGTAATCAGGATGATGAGCAGCAGCTGCGGAGGTGAGTTGGCGGGAATCAGAAGTGGGTCAGCCACACCCAGCCAGGGAGACAGACACACAGACAGACAGAACGAACATAACAAACATAAAACAAAGAAGAGAAGAAGGAGGGAGATACTGCAAATCCTCACAGTACCCCCCCCTCCACGGGAGCCTCCTGGCGACCACCAGGCTTGTCAGGGTGTGCTCTGTGGAACTCGCTCACCATGACAGGGTCCATGATGCGTGACCGAGGCACCCAGCAACGTTCCTCCAGGTTGTAACCCTCCCAATCAACCAAGTACTGAAAGCCCCTGCCCCGGCGTCTGACATCCATAAGCCGACGCACGGTGTAGGCAGGATGATCATCGATGACTCGGGGGGGAGGAGGGGGAATGGTTGGAGGGCACAGGTCACTAGTGTGGACTGGCTTGATCTGGGAAACATGAAAGGTTGGATAAACCTTCATGGATCTGGGGAGTCTCAAGCGGACAGCAGAGGGGTTAATAATGCGCTCAATGAGGAAAGGCCCAAGGAACCGAGGGGACAGTTTCTTTGACTCGGTGAGGAGTGAGATATTTTTGGAAGACAACCAAACTGATTGTCCAGGGGTGTAATGGGGAGCGGCATGTCTGTGACGGTTAGCTGACCGTTGATTCCTGGTAGAAGTCCGGAGGAGTTCTGAGCGAGTGTCCCTCCAAATCTTACGGCACCGTTGAATGTGATGCTGGACAGAAGGAACTGCCAACTCACTCTCCTCCTCAGGAAACAGGGGAGGTTGGTACCCTAAGGAGGCTTCAAAAGGAGAGAGAGCAGTTGCAGATGACGTGAGCGAATTAAAGGAATACTCCACCCAGGGTAGAAGGGAGCTCCAGGTAGATTGATTGCGATTGGCAACACAGCAGAGAGTAGATTCCAGGTCTTGATTGGCCCTTTCAGTTTGACCGTTTGACTGGGGATGATAACCAGAAGTTAGACTGACAGATGCACCAAGTGAATGACAGAAATTCTTCCAAACCAGAGAGATGAACTGAGGTCCACGGTCGGAGACGATGTCAGCCGGGATTCCATGCAGGCGGAAAACATGCTGGGTGAGAAGTTGACCGGTCTCCAGGGCTGAGGGAAGCTTGGGCAGAGCTACAAAATGGGCACATTTGGAGAAACGGTCTACAACTGTTAGAATAGTTGTGTTTCCTTGTGAGGGAGGTAGGCCGGTGACAAAATCTAGTGCAATATGAGACCAAGGTCGACTTGGTATAGGAAGGGGCTGGAGCAATCCTGCAGGTCTCTGATGAGAGGCCTTGCTCCTAGCACATGTAGTGCAGGCTGAAACAAACTCCTTAGTGTCCTTGTCAACTGTTGGCCACCAGAAATGTCTCCGGAGAAGAGAGAGTGTGCGGTTGGCACCAGGATGATTAGCGAAAAGGGAGCTGTGGACCCACTGCAGGACTTGAGAACGGACAGAGTTGGGGACAAACTGACGGTTTGGCGGACCACAACCAGGGTCCGGTTGCTCCAATAGCGCCTCCTGGATGGAGTTACTGATCTCCCAGGTGAGGCCACCCACAACACAGCTCAGGGGAAGAATAGAGTCAAAAGACGTGACTGGTCCCTCAGACAAAAACGACCTGGACAGGGCGTCGGGTTTAGTATTCTTGGAACCAGGACGATAAGTTAGAGAGAAGTTGAAACGACCAAAGAAGAGGGCCCACCTGGCCTGTCGGGAGTTTAGCCGTTTAGCAGACTGAATGTACTCCAGGTTCTTGTGGTCAGTCCAAACCAGGAATGGCTGCTCGCTGCCCTCGAGCCAGTGTCGCCACTCCTCCAACGCCATCTTCACCGCCAGCAGCTCTCTGTTGCCCACATCATAATTTCTCTCAGCTGGGGAAAGACGGCGAGAGAAGAAAGCACATGGGTGAAGCTTATTGTCTGGCCCTGCCGTCTGAGACAAAACAGCGCCAACCCCGATGTCAGATGCATCTACCTCCACCACAAACTGCTTGCTTGAGTCTGGCTGGATGAGTATGGGGGCAGATGTGAACAAGGATTTGAGGAGAAGAAATGCCTTGTTAGCATCAGTAGTCCAGGTAAACTTGATCTTGACAGAAGTGAGACTGGAGAGTGGAGCTGCTACCTTGCTATAGTTCCTGATGAACCGGCGATAGAAGTTAGCAAAACCCAGGAACCTCTGCAGCTCCTTCCTAGTAGTGGGGACTGGCCACTCGGAGACAGCTAGAATCTTTCCTGGATCAGCCTCCAACTTGCCCTGCCTGATGATATATCCCAGGAAGCTGACCCGCTCCTGGTGAAACTCGCACTTCTCAGCCTTGACGAACAGCTTGTTCTCAAGCAGCCTTTGCAGCACCTGACTGACGTGGTCCTGATGTTCCTCCAGACTCGTGGAAAAAATCAAGATGTCGTCAATGTAAACAAACACGAATCGGTTAAGGAAGTCTCGTAGGACATCATTAACCAGGGCCTGGAAAACAGTGGGGGCATTAGAGAGTCCAAAGGGCATGACAAGATATTCGAAGTGACCAAGGGGGGTGTTGAAAGCTGTCTTCCACTCATCTCCTTGGCGAATTCGAACAAGGTGGTAGGCATTCCTGAGGTCGAGCTTGGAGAAGATGGTGGCACCTTGGAGAGGTTCAAAGGCTGAGTTTATCAGGGGAAGTGGGTACTTGTTTTTAACTGTAATGTTATTTAGCCCACGAAAGTCAATACAGGGTCGGAGAGACTTATCCTTTTTGTCCACGAAGAAAAACCCAGCACCCAGAGGAGAGGAAGAAGGACGAATTATCCCAGAAGCAAGGGAGTCACCGATGTATCTCTCCATGGACTCTCTTTCAGGCCGAGACAGATTATAAAGCCTGCTGGTGGGTAAAGGAGCTCCAGGCAGCAGATTGATGGGACAATCATAGGGACGATGAAGAGGGAGAGAGAGAGCTTTCTCCTTGTTGAAGACCCCACTCAGGCTGTGATAAACTTCAGGAACACCAGACAAGTCAACTTCAGCAGAGACACAAGGAGCAGACTTAGGTTCGACAGGGACGGGAGGCACAGCAGACTGTAAACAGTGAAGGTGGCACGACTGGCTCCATTCCATGATTCTTCCTCCGGCCCAATCAATATGTGGATTGTGGGTGCGAAGCCATGGGTATCCAAGAACCAAAGGGGTTGCTGGTGAGGAAATAACCTTCAGTTGAATCTCCTCTCTGTGATTACCAGAAATAAACAGGGTTAAGGGTTGTGTCTGCTGTGTAACCTTAGAAATGCTTTTCCCATTTAAAGCATATGCTGTCAAAGGTTCCGTTAGAGTTTCCAAATGTAACCCCAGCTGTTTGGCTAGTTCACAGTCCACAAAGCTATCCTCAGCACCAGAGTCAACGAGAGCAGAAAGGGGCAATGTCTGAGCGTTGAAACAAAGTCTAGCAGGAATCAAAAAACGGCTCAAAATTGGGGCTACAATAGGTGTAGGTAGCGAACTCGTCAGGACCCCCAACTTTACTGACGAGCCCTTGCGTTTGGGCGGACAGGACAGCCAGAGAGGATATGGCCACCCTTTCCACAGTACAGGCATTCTCCACACCTAATACGTCGAAGGCGCTCCTCAGGGGATAATCCAGTGCGTCCCAACTGCATAGGTTCCACCATAGCAGAAGTGGGCACGCGGGTTGGTGAGGTGAAGCCAGATGGTCCGGACACAGAGGGAGCAAACCTGGGTGAACTGTTTGGCTGATAAGGCAAAGCAAAAGGAGGACGCTGCGTGCGCTCCGCACGGCGCTCCCGCAGCCGGCTGTCGAGACGAGAAACCCAGGAGATTAAGGATTGGAGGTCAGCAGGCTCCTCTCTTGCAGCCAGCTCATCCTTCAGTTGATCCCTCAATCCCCTAACAAACACAGCCCTTAAAGCCGCCTCGTCCCATCGGGCTTCTGCCGCAAGTGTGCGAAACTCGATAGAATAATCTGCAACGGTTCGAGTTCCTTGTTGCAGATTCAACAGACGACTATCAGCTGAGCCAGAGTGTTCAGGATGATCAAAAACAGAGGAAAAATGATCCGAAAAAACTCCAAAGGAAAGTGTATTGTAATCCACAGAAGAACTCAATGCTTCAGCCCAGGTTAAAGCTCTTCCACGAAGCAAACTCAACATATAGTTAATCTTAGTTCCATCAGAGGAAAAAGACACGGGGTGCTGGCGAAATACCTTATTGCATTGAAAAAGAAATCCTCTGCATTTCTCCACCTCTCCGTGGAAAGGCTCAGGATCGGCAATGGGGAAGTCCCGGCATGGAGTGGAATCCACAGGTGGATAGGAGGAGGCAGGAAGTGTAGCAGAAGACGTCAAAGCTGAGACCTGAGCAGCAAGGTTTGAGACGTTTAGAGCCATGGACTGATTGCTCTCCACTAAGGCTCGAATCATCTGCTCATG